AAAATGTGATCGCATGAACACAATTTTATACATAGACTCTTCAGTATAATTTCTTCAGTATAATTTTGCTTCAAGCAGAAAAATGGATCAAGATGTTTATATAGCTTCTACCACCTTCTTCCACTGTAGAGTGAAACCATCACAGGAAATAGAGAAGGATTGGGCTTAAAAATCTCCCTAGTATTAAATCTTCAATCACCTGGGAATTTTTAAACTGAAATAAAGGTAGTAATCATCTTCATGTACCATACACTTATAAGTACATAAGACATCAAGTCATTAACTATAAGTTCCTGTTTTGTCTTGAATGAAAGAAATGTAAGCTATGGGCATTTGCAAGTTTCTTTCTCTTTTTTTTGAGTCAGAACAAGGTGTTTACTTGAATGCTACTACAGCAACTTATTATTTTTCTTTCATTTAGGAAAAGTAAGTTTCATTTTCATAAGACTAATCTTAATGTTAGAGCCCAACATGTACTGTGCTTGTGAAGGAAAAGGCACTGTAGAACTCCAAGGGGATATAGCCATTTGGGAAAAGGAAGATACTGGAGAGTGCTTCCATTCCACAATTTGGAAGATCTTTTACTTGTGTTTACTTCTGCAAGGACACCAGACCTCTTTTTTAGGAGATCTGCATTATGACGCTTATTTTTCTGTAACTGAACTGCTTGTTCTTTATTCTTCTTCTCGAGCATGAGTCTAAAGAGGATGAGATATAAGAAGGCAAAGCAAGATTCCATCAGCATCAATATCTAGGGAGTAAGGATCCCATATACAGTTGGAAGAATTAGAGGGACTGTTCTTATGGTATAACTTTTCAGAATAAGTGCCCCAAAGACCAAAGAGTTTCAGTGGAAATGAGTAATCAGGTTTGTATCCAGCTCAAGATATTAAATAGCTTGCTAACCCAAGGGAGTTGTGGCAATTCCTTCTAACACTAATTTATAAATAAGGAGTTATTAAAGATATCAGAGAATTTCTCATTAGATACAGAGAAAACAAAATATGAGGTTAATAAAAATTTTTCTAAAAATCTGTTAAGGTAAAACAATTCCACCAAGACCTTAGAATATAAGAGAATAAATGTACGCACATGTTTGGTTTCTTCTTTCACTTTTTTAAAAAAATTTTTTTCTTGTTTTCCATTATCCTATGAAGAAATAGCCACAAAATGTCATTAGGTGCATAAGGGGGGAAAAAAAAAAAAGTCTTTTTAGCCCTATAGATTTGGTAGACAGAAACATAAATCAAATGTTATCTCATACGGAAGATTTCCAAATTCTAATTATCTGGGCTTTTAAAGGGGAAACTAGATTGACCATATTAATGTTCTCACTATGGAGTTATATAGCATTATCTCATGCCCGATGCTGTGTCAGTGTCCTGTTACTCCTGGTATCTAGCTCCTACTCTTTTTCAGCCTTATCACATAGAAACTATAGACTGGAACCACTTTTTAAATGATCTCCTTTGGTTGCCTGAACAGCAGGGAAGATTGTTATTCATTTGCAGCAAGAAACTCAATCATTTCTGGGTTCCAATTAGAGAAAGCCTAGGGGCCCTCTTTATTAAGATGAAACACAAATTGTATCAAGACTTGCTAAACCACTTAATATTTTTATGGTGATATTAAGAAGCTCGAACATTTTAAGTACTAATTGGAATATGTGTAAGGTATTTTTAATCGATGTATAAACTCTAACCTCCATTTCATTAAAATTGCATCTTATGGAGCTAACTTTTTTTGCCACCTTGAAGATTTACCATACAGAGTAGGATCAAGGATCCTGTAATATTCAGTGTCAGTAGTGACTTACACTTCTATAATCTCCTCTGAACCATTTCTGCAGGTATTTTTTCATTATTTCCTAGAAAAGAGAATTATGTTTTAGAAAACATTCTTTTTAAATACAGACTGGTAGCTTAAATAATTTATCTAGATCTTTAACTTCATTTCTGTGTATACAACTCAAAAATACATATCTAAATTTACTTAAATGATTACAGGGCCAAATACTTTAAGATGTGACTGAAATCTTATGAACACAAGCAGAAAAAAGTTATGACAGTTTGGATTTGGTGGGTATAATTTTGAGTGTATGAAAATGCATAAAGAGAGAGATCCAGTTATATCTGTGTATGTTTAAAAATTTTTACTTATACATTAAGAAAGTATTGCCTCTTAATGAAATACATCTGTTGAGTAGTATCTTAAGGATGAATCTTTTAAAATTCAAGTCATCCTTAATATAACTGTTATTTTAATGTTGGCCTTATGTGGCTTTGTAGAAAGGACACACCTTCTAATATTTCAGTTATATGCAGTAAGTCATAGTTTTGTCTCTTCAAAGGATATTAAGGATGTGCAAGGTTCAAGATTATCTAGGCTCTCAGTTTTAACATAAGAATTAGTAAATTCAGGAGAGGGGGGTGGGATTATGGACATTGGGGAGGGTATGTGCTATGGTGAGTGCTGTGAAGTGTGTAAACCTGGCGATTCACAGACCTGTACCCCTGGGGATAAAAATATATTATATGTTTATTAAAAAAAAAAAAAGAATTAGTAAATTCAAAGAGCAGCTTGCTAATGTGGGGTGCATGATGCAAGTTGAGAAATATTAATGGTTTATATTTTATTAAATATACTATGAGAGTGAGTTGTCTATATAATTGGATGATATAAATTATTTTATTTTCCAATAGTTTTAGATAACTAATTTCTTTGTTTCTTTTTTTCTGCATAAAATGCCCTTTCAGAATTTTCATGGATACAGTCCTGGTTGTCTTCTCTTTGTTCTCTCCCAAATGCCTCACTACTTAAACTAAATGATTCTTTCATCACATTGCTGATCTGCTTGTTTTGATACTATTTCCTGTATTTTTTATTATTTGGTTCACAGCTTTTGCCACTTCAGAATTTTTTCAGAAAAACATATTCTCTGAATTAGAAAAGATGTCATAGATCATTAATCAATATATATGTTCTCATTGTCTTTATAATAACAAAATGGAAGTGAAATGTTTCCCCAAAAAATCAACAAATAATTAAACCTATTTCAAAAATAATTTCTAACATGATAAAATAATGTTAAAATAGAAAATTTGACATAAAAGAAGTTGGAAAATATTTATCATGTTAGTAAGTAAGAGGTAGTGGACAAAGCATTAACTACAGAGTCAGACCAATGTTTGGATACATCTCTGATCATCAACATTCTTACATGCATTAAATTTTTAAAAATGATATCAGAAGTATCCTTGTGAGAAGTATAGAAGATATTAGTAACACATCTAGGATAATTACCATATCAACCCATGGCAGTAGGTATTATTAACTATTCCTAAAATTTATAATTACAAAACTATGTAAGATATTGGAAGACAGATGTCCATGGTTCATTTATCCTTTCCTCCCCGCAAACAGATTTTGTGATGAGAATTCTTTGCAACAATTTGATTAAAAGAGAACTACCAGTTCCCATAAGTTCATAAAACTTTTCTTTAGGTTCCACATATAAGTATGATCATACAGTATTTGTCTTTTTCTGTCTCATTATTTTACTTAGCCTAATGCCCTCAAGTTCCACCCATGCTGTCTCATATGGCAGGTTTTCCTTTTTTCAATGTCTGAATAATATTGCATTATACTTAGAATATATTTTCTTTATCTTTTCATCCATTGATGGACATGGGTTCTTTGCATGTGTTGGCTTTTATAAACAATGCTGCAGTGAACATGGGATGTAGATATCTTTTCGAAATAGTGATTTTGTTTCCTTTGGATATTTACCCAAAAATGGAATTGCTGGATCAAGCGGTAGTTGTATTTTTAATATTCTGAGGAAACTTCATACTATTTTCCAAAATGGCTGCAACAATTTATATTTCCACCCACAGTGTGGAAGTATTCCCTTTTCTCCATGTCTTCCCTAACACTTGTTATTTCTAGACTTTTTAATGATAGGCATCCTAACAGGTATGAGGTAATATTGCATTATGATTTTGATTTGCATTTATCCAATGATGAGTGATGTTGAACATTTTTTTCTATAATTGTTAGCTGCTTGAATGTCTTCTTTGGAAGAATATTTATTCAATTCATCTGCAATTTTTTTAGTTGGATAATTTTTTTGCTACTCAGTTGTACACCTTTTTATTATTTTTTTTCCTGTTTAATTACTCTAAGACTTCCCATGTAATGTCAAGTGAAAGTGTCCAGAAACAGGGGATAGAGTAGTGGAAGAAGTGGGTGAATGTTGTACAGATTTCCAGTTATAAGATAAATAATTTCTGGGGATGTAATGTACAGCATGCTGACTATAATTAACAATGTTGTATTGTTTATTTGAATGTTGCTAAGAAACTAGATCTTTAAAGTTTCATCACAAGAGAAAATATAACTATGTGCGGTGATCGATGTTAACTAAAGCAATTGTGATAATTACTTTGCAATATATACATTTATCAAATCATTCCATTTTACACCAGTGTTAGTTGTCAATTGTATCTCTACAACTAGGAGACTAAAAGAGAGACCTTCAAGGAAAAACCAGTAGGGGGTGAGAAAAGAAGAAAAGGTGAGGGGAAATAGCTTCAGATGGTTTCAAGCAAAACTGTCACAGTGGTAGTAGCCTCAAGTATAAAGGTGTAATTCCAAGTACTTCTGGAAAAGCCTGCTCCAAAGCCCCAAAGCCATCCTCCAGAAATAGCAGGTATGAAAATTCACATCAGGATCGAGGCCACAGGATTGCTCTAATGACTCAGCAAATTAGTCCATTAATACACGCCTGCTTAGTTTAACAGAATAGAATTAAATTATATTTGCCATATCTCCAAATCTCCTGAGTGAGAGCATGGTGGTTGTTTGGTACCTTCTAGAAGTTAGCATATGGGTGTGCACAAAATGATTGTTAAATATTTGTAAATTGCTTGATTTATATACGTCACATAATATGAAAAATTTCTCATTTTCATATCTATGTGCATATTTAAATCCAATAGGCCAGAACCTGTTTTGTGGACAAAGGACGGTGGAGAATTGCCAGATCCTGACCGAATGGTTGTGAGTGGTAGGGAGTTAAACATTCTTTTCCTGAACAAAACGGATAATGGTACATATCGATGTGAAGCCACGAACACCATCGGCCAAAGCAGTGCAGAGTATGTTCTCATTGTACACGGTGAGTACTTTTTGGATATCAGTATATGTGAAAGAAATGAATGACCTGAAAAACTTTAAATTTATCACAGTCTTTAGAATAATAAACACAATTTTAAATGGGTTTTCTTTTTCTTTCAGAAGGACTTTTCACAAAAGATTCACAATATGTTCCAAGTCAAATTAATAAATTTACGACATACACTAAAAATAAAAATTATTTTTGTAAAAGGTTTTTTTATTGCAATTATATAAGTGTTGGTAGTGACTAGTAAATAATAATGGTTGTCTTTGAATTTTGCAAATAAATGCTTTTAGTTATAAATCATAATCATGAAAGCTATATTTACTTTAAGTTAGTTTTAGTTGTAATATCATAAAAATATACTTTATTATCACTATAGCTGGTTTCACAAGGAATGATAGCACATTAATGAGATCCAGCAAAGACAGAGGTGTACAATATATAATTGCATTAATTTCTTATGAACAATGATTTGAAACAGTCACAGACATTTTTTCTTCACTGCACTAATCTCACGATATGAGTAAATATAACAAAATGGCAAAAAGAAATAACAGTACCTAAGACTGAGACAATCCCTGTTTTTCCAAACCTCCAAAAGCCACAATTGTTGCTCATGATATAGCTTTAATATATTGTTAGATAGAGATGAACTTTTATGAGATCGATAAATAATGTAATAAAAAATTAGTCAAGGTTCTTTATTGCAAGTCTTCTCAGAGTTTATTAACTATGCCAGGTTACATTGTGAATTTCCAAGAGAAAGAAACATTAGAGAATGTAAGATTTTCCTCATATTTCACTATGAAAATCTTTTCTAAGACTAGTCTTGTGCTAATACAATATAACAGTATTCCAAATGAACACTGTGTAAAACATGATACTGTAATAAAGCCAGTGTATCTTAAAAATATGAACAGAGTATATTTATTTGAGATCTTTCCCATGAATCTAATTATAAAGTACTATGAGAAGCATGAATTAGTTCTGTACCTTTCTAAAACAGAATTTGGTGGGGGGGGTAGAGTCTAATTCTTTGTAAAGAGATTTTATTTTAGGGAAAAAATTAATACCGTTTATGTTTTTTCCCCAGGTATTTATTTTGTTGTGGTACAGGACAAACTGGAGAAAGAGAATATATTAAATTAATATACAACTTTCGTATTCTCAAATTACTTTAGTGTATGCAGCCTTTCAATTCTTAATACCACTTTGCTGTTGAAGGCCAACAAGGACTTGTAGTACATAGACTGACCACATATAAACTCTTTGAAGATAGAGCTGAGAGATTAATTTCTAGCATCCTATGAATTGTGCAGATTACAACTTTCTGGAAAGATCAGCCTAATCCAATTAAATTCATAAATTGGAACTAAATGTGTTAAAGCCCTGTAGACACTCCCTGCCAGGCTTCCTGCCAGAGACAGTCTAAGAAGTCCTGGGCGTGTCAAGAAAATAACTTAGATTCTTGGAGCAGGACCCAGGAGTAGCTTTCAGTTCATGCTGACCTGTGTGTGTAGCTCATGCAGTCATAGAAGTGAAGTCTGATTCACTCTGCGCTTTCTGAGTACATCTCACTGACAGTTGTAGGGAACCTAGGGGCATTTTGTATAGCATGTCACATTGTGTCAAAAGCAATAGGACACAAAAATACCAATAGTTAGAAGGGAAGTGATAGAAAAAATAATACAGTTTAGATAAAAAGTATGTCATCCTTTTTTTTTTTTTTTTTACATAATTCAAGTGGAGCAAATGCATATGTTTTCCCAGCTATGTTTTGCAAGCTAGCCAACAGCATGATTTCCTAAATAGCCAAGCTACCTTTAGGTATTTGGCAGTTGACATATTTCTAATAAATACTTCTCTAACCACTTTGTAAGAAGTCATTTTTGGCTTTGCTTTTTGAACTACAATTCATCAAAAGCACCCCATAGATTAATGTTATTCATGCTGCTAGATAAAGGCTATGAAGTTCAACAGTAGTTTACCTAGGATTATTGACACAAGTAATGAGAGGCTCGATGAAACAGTGAAACCATATTACTCTGTGTTTAAAAAGAGCTCCAATTGGGTTCATTACAAAATCAAGGTTTTTTTTCCCCTTTGCACACGGGGTATAATGTTTCATTAGTCACTGGTTGTATAAATATAAAAAGCTACTCTCCTCTGTTAATGGTTTGGCTGTTTCAAAACCCTACTAAATGATGAAATTTGAGTGGCATTTCGATCTATAATGAATGCTGTATGCATTTCGGAATGGAGTGATAAGTGATCATTTGTGAGAACTTTACCCTTTTATCTTTTACACCAAGGTTGATTTTACATTAGCTGTGATAATTTAATATAGCTCTAGCACAGAAGGGCCTTTCATGAGCTGAGACTGTGTTTTTGACTCTACCACAGTTGCCCATGTTCTATTGATTCTTAACTTGATGGAGGTCTGAGCACTTTCCTGTGAAATCATCTGCTATCTAGATGCCATCCTAATGGTTAGATTTCATTCTTTGGGTGTCAGTGGAAGTACATTATTTAAATGTTATCACATTTAATTGTTAACAGCACTGACATTTTGTGTTGTGGACACTGGAGAGTTTTCTTCCCCCTCCTAATTACACCTTTACAAATTACAGCTTTAGAACTACAGATGGTAATTTGAAACTGCCAGTCTAAAATTCACCATCAGTGAAAGGTCTAACAAAATTTAACATACAAATACTTGTAGGATAAAATATTATATTTATGAACAATTTGTACTTTGCAGGCTTTCATCAGAAAAGAAAGTAGCATTTTTCATTAACATGTTCAACTGTGGAAAAATTTATGTGTTGAATTGGTAGCCTTAGTTATATATACTATTAATTTGTGTCAGAATAGGTTTTTTTTAATTTAAATTCAATTAGCCAACATATAGTACATCATTATTTTCAGATGTAGAGTTCGGTTATTCATCAGTTACATCTAACATCTGGTGCTTATCATATCACGTGCCCTCCTTAATGCCCATGACCCACTTACTACATCCCTATAGCCACCTCCCCTCCAGCAACCTTCAGTTTATTTCCTAGAGTTAAGAGTCTTTCATGGTTTGTCTCCCCCCCTTTTCTTTTTTTTGCTTCTGTATAAAAATATTGAAGTCATTCTCATATTTTTGTTGCTATCATACTATTTATTTTTTTAGAAGGGCTGATTATTTCCATGTCAATGGCATTTAAGCATACTATTCCATTGCTGTTTTACTATTTGGAGAACTCAGATCAAGAGAAAAAAATCATTCATTCACCAAATAAATATTTAGCATTTAACTACTGAATACTAAAGTACTATAGAAGCAAAGGTGAATAGAACTTAAGTTTAGAATTTAACATGGAAGATAAACATTCAAGTAGTTATAATACCAAAATAAAAGAACTAGAGAAGAATGGACAATCATGTAGCTGTTTGAAGTCTTTGAGAGTGTGGTCTAAGTGTCTATAATTAAAAAAAAAAAAAGTAACAGAGCACTTCTGAATTGTTCAAAGGCTAATGGTATACATCATAAATGGAAGTAGCCAGCACAGTGCCAGGTGCATACATATGCAATAAATCAAATTATTATAATTATATTACTAGTAGCCTTAAGATACCAAAGGAAATCTCAATCCACTCAATCTCTGATGAAAACCTTACACAAGAGTTGCATACAGTTTAGTGCCCAGAGTCTTCCCTGAATGGTACTCAGAGCATAAATTAGGTTATATCTATTAAAGAATGAGACAATTGTAAATTCTTGCCAACTAGGCAATAGAGGATATCTTAAAATTTCAATAGTATGGCAAATTAGTTACATAGAGAGTACAGGATAAAAGTTATAATTACTCTTGTTTCTCTAATACAACATCAAGTTCAGAGGGTTTAGGTTAAATATCTTTTCCTCAAATAAGACTTCCCAGATTCATATCTTCCAGTATAGGGAACATGGAGGATACCTTTTTATCACATAAGGAATAGCTGCAGAGAATTACAGATGAGCTGAAGCTAATCTTATTTTGTGGATAGAAGCAACTCAAGTTCTAATATTTATTTCTCATCAACTGTTGCAAAATACATGTTCTTTTGAAAGTGTCCAAAACATACAGCACCTGGGAAATTTTGAAAAAGAATACAACAGTGAGAAACACAAATCAGATTTCCTCCAAATCTTAAATTTCTTCTTTCTCTGCACTGCCAATACCTTTTACCTGCCTTCATACTCATGCTAGAGAAATTTGTAACCACTCCTCGAAATACAAATGGTTGTGGAACAGAGAAGCTGGGACTCCTTAGTATCATCTGCACCCTCAAAACCCGCCCCGGGATTTGGGAAGATATATAACAATACAAGTAGAAAAAAATGAGTAGCATATTTCTTTTTCCACCAGTAGTGGCACTCCGCATGGCAGGCCCAGAGCATGGGAGAATGTTCCAGGGAGTCAGGTGAGAGTTTCAGTGGAGAATCCACTCCATTCAGAACCTGACTCAGGGTTGTTTGAGACAGTCGTAACAGAATAGAGATGCGCTCTGTGAGAAAGGTTTGTGTGACATTTCCCACCTCTCTTCAAACATATTCTTCCTATTAATATAATAACCCTTATATGAGATTTAAAATTATTTTGCCACTGTTCTAAAATTCCTTTACTTCATTATTTTTCTATTTGTGTGAATAACTTTTGTAACAATTCATTACATCATAATCTTAACTTACTATTCTTGTTTTAAGTAAAATTACCCACTATATTCCCTATCATATTTTTACTTTTATGTATACATATTTTGCTTTTTGAGCAAATTTTACCTTAATGACCACATAAAACAAGTAAAACTCTCCATAACCAGTATTATTATGGTAGAAAGTAAAAAATAATAAAAAGCTTCTTTACGTGAGTGACAGTCACTGACTTGATATCTCTAAGATATCACTTGACAGTTATGGTTTGTTTTATTTGATCATGTATCTACTGCAATGCATACTGCTGAAAAAC